CAAGTAAAAAAAAAAAAAAACTAACAGATTTACTGTTCACACAATAGCCTAAGCACGTTTGCCAAACAACTTCAATCAAGAATAACAGGATAAACACATGGAAAAATGAAGATTTTAACCAAATAAATTTCATAGATCAGTGTTATAATATAAACAGCAGCATTTTTAGGTTTGCTTTTCCTCTCTCTTATAAGTTATAACTTTTATCTATATTTTTGAACTGAATGAGATTGATATAGAACTTTAAAGGAACTTCATATATGGAAAGGAAAAACCTGCATCCATGCACGCTTGAGAAGCAAGCAGAATTGCCTCCACCAGCATCCTTTCTTCAGAGGCTTACTTTTCCTGAATTTCATACTAGCCGAGATTTGCCTTTTCTCAATTGGGGTTGCGTACAAAATTGTTGAAGAATATCGTGAGAATGACTCAACAAGACCATAGATCCTCTTCTGAGAGGAGTACACACTATCTGCAGAACTATAGTCTATTGATATAAGATCTGCCAGAAACTCAGCAGGATTCACATGGTCGGGGCAAATATACCTGTTTGATTAAACAGAGAACTAGTGAATCACAATATCTGGAGCCCAATTAAATTTACTGAAAATATTTTTTCTAAAAAAAATCAAAGAAAATGTAGTAAAGACAAAAGAACGTGCACGCATGGATTCAATTTCTTTAGTTTACAGAAGATATAAAACAGAAAGAGAAAAAATGAAGAGGAAGAGGAAGGAGGCAAAACGCAAAGAACGAAATAGGATATTTGATTAGTAAGTGCGAACAAAAAAATGTAGAAGCACTAAAATCCTTGATGTGAAAATTTGAGTCATAAAGAGTACAAAGCCTAATAACAAACAATGAACAAATGATTAGCCATGGTCAACATTCATCAAGAAGTATGTACCTAAAATGTGAAACAAAAAAAAACGCGTTGAAGGATAATGAGGTTTATGATGTATCCTGTAAACAAGGAAATGCTCAAATGAAAACATATTTGTTGAAGTTATGGATTGAGCTCACAACCCAAATTTAGAGAAGTATTCCAAAGGTTCCTCATGAGCAGGACCGGCATATACAAGAGCACCCTCTGTCAGCAATACAATATCATCAAATTTAGCATACACAGAACCTCTAGGTTGATGTATCGAGCAGATTACAGTATGTCCATCCTTAGCAAGTTGCTGAAGTGTCTCCACTACTTTTTCTGCCTGGAATGCATCAAGTCCTGGAAGCACCATGATTATAATTTTATTTATTAGAGACATTGTACATGTATGGAGGAGCTACAAAGTGGATGTGTGTGTGGGTGAGGGGTTGGACGAGATATCACCCCAACATCCCACCAGAAATGTAAAGTAAAAACACCATGTTTATAAAATCAAGCCAGGCAGATAACATAGATTTATACAAGTCATGGGTAAACCTTACTGTTCATGTTAAACAAATGATAGTATACAAAAAATGTTAAATGTAATAAGTTTCTACATGCCAGAAATTTAGTGATTACAAAGAATCAGATAGTACCATTAGAATCCCTTGTTAAACCAGACCAGCAATTATATTAAATTTGAAAAACAAGATTTACAGCACTTGGGTCTGTACGCCTTGGGGAAGTTGCATTTGATTTTATGGTTTCAACTGATAGTAATAATAATAACGGCTTCATATTATGAAGCTAGGACGTCCATAGGTAATATTGCCCAAAAAATAGAGAGAAACTGAATTGTCAACGAAACAAGTCTCAAAACAAGGTCATGCTTACCAGTTGTGGGTTCATCAGCAAATATAATAGATGGGCTCGCAATCAGTTCACATGCTAGAGACAAACGTTTCTTTTCACCCCCACTGACGCCACGAACTCTTGCATCACCCACACATGATTCCGCACAGTTGACCTTTTTAATGAAAAATATGAAATTAGTGCAACATGTTTAAGCTTAGACAGATGTATGTACATTGCAGTGACTCAGAGGAGGCTGAGAGCCTTATTACTCCACCAATTTATTAATTCTATCACGAGCAGAGAAACTATCAAGCATTTCAGCCAATAAATGTATTGGACAGTTTCTAGAACCAAAACATGAAAAACTTATATACTCCCATGTAATGAGCTCGGTAAGAACCAATGGAGACGGGGGAAAGAAAACCAGACCTAGGAGCCAGCTATGGACCTATATTGCACTGGTCGTAGTCCTTTAAGGTAGAATTAAACTGAAGCATATAATACACTCCCAACGTAAGAAAATATTATTTCAGTTTTCTAAGAAAAACACATTTTCAATTATCAATCTTACCAAACCTAGTTTCAAGAGCAGATTGTTCACATATTCTTCCCTCTCTTCTACGGAAGATATCTCAGTAAGCTGAAGTTCAGCAGCAAGATTCAATGTCTCTCGCACAGTAAGCTGTGAGAAAAAGAGGTCCTCCTGTCTCACATAAGCAAACCTACAATAATACTAATAATGATGAATGAAGCAATCTTCTCAGCATTTTATTGTAAAGTGTTTTTTTAAAAAGAAACAAACGTACCTGTAAGCTCTCTTATTTGAATCAGGCTTTCCATTGAAATCTATTGTGCCTGAGAGATGTAACCGTGACGAAGCCGCTAGCTGACCCGCCAGAATATTGAGCAACGTTGTTTTTCCTGAACCCGACGGTCCCATTATTGCCAATAATCTTCCGGGTTTCGCTTGTCCGCTGACATTCTTAAGCAGAAATCGCACCTAACAATAGGTTCTTTTATCAGTAATTGATCATGCTCTACTTTTGATAACATGAATTTGTTGATCCAGTAACCCAAAATTAAACTTAGATAGTAATTCAAGTCACACTCGAGAACTGAATAGCGGCAATGAAGCGCTTATACATTTGCATGAGACAAAAAGAGATAAACCAACAAACTTATGAGAGTCGAAAATCATAATATACGGCACTAATTTCTTTCCCTCAAGACTGAAACCGTAGTGGTGAAAACTAACAGAAACGCCACTGTTCAGTTCCGGTGCTGCATTTTCGAGAACCACAAGCGATTTTAGAAATGAAGAAAACAACAAGAAACTTACTGATTTGGCGGATTTATCAGAGAGAGAGCACGAGATGTTGCGCCACCGGATTGTCACCGGAGTGACTTTCCCGGATGCTGGAGCTTCTTCTTCATCTACCTGAACGTCTCCGTCTTCCTTCTCCCCGTCCTCGAGCTCGATTTCATGTTCCGGCGGAAGAGCAGGTTCTGGTCCGGAGATAAACCGGACGAGGAAAGCCGCCGCGACGGCGACCAAAACTTGGCCCACACCGTTCCCGCCAATGCCTACAACCATCTGGCTCACTCGTTTCCTGTCGAACCTCACCATCGTATGCACCGACTCGATCACCTCCGGTGAAGCCGAGCGACGCGCCGCCGCGTTTGAAGTTGGAACGGAAGGAAATTGGCCAGATTCCCGTATTAGACGCGCGAAACGTAGAAGATAAGATTGGTACGAAGCTCACTCTAGTCTCTCGCAGGATTAGAAGCTTACGGCCCTTCGGCTAAGTGGAAATTACGATCTTAACCCGTTCCGGAGTCGTAAAAAAAAAATGTAACCTTTTTTTTCTCTGAGTACAACTTCTGAGGTTGGGCGAGCGATCGAGTTTGCAATTTTTTGACCGGAGATATAGGTTAATTATCGCTATACAATATTCACTTTGGTATATATATTTTTTTATCTTATTTGTAATACTGTTGAATTTTGCCTTCTTAACAATTTTAAGCAATTTTTTCTTTTACCACACCCACAAAATTTGTATAATCCATTCCACTTATTTTCGCACTTGATCTATTAATTGATGATGAGACTCCTACTATTAGTCTTGTCTTAGTAATTTTGTTTGACCTCTATGACATAGTCATTCGGGATTTGAAAGACAATGATTTACTATTAGATGTCAGCAGTTTGAGTCTACTTATCTCCAACAATAATTATACTATATGACAAAGGTAAAAAAAATGCCAAAATGAAATAGTTCAATTTAACAGCATTTACTATTTGAGTTGAGGTTCGAATTCTCACACCATGTATTTATTTATTGTATAACTTATTTATTAAACTATGTTTGGATCAAAATGTAAAAAATAATTTAACTCTTTATTTTTAGGTTGAGGATCAAATTCTCACGCCATATATTTATTGTACGATTTATTCGTTGAACTATGTTCGGATTAACATGTAAAGAAATAATTAAAGTATAGAAAATAACTTAATAACATCATGTATCATCCTCCATCTTCTTCTTCTTCTTCTTTTTTTTTTTTGAGGGGGGAATAAAATTTGGATGTATTTTTTAAAACAACTTTTCCCCTCCAACCACATTATTGTTTCGATAGAAAATTTTATTTGGATACAAATATGAGTTTTGGTGATTGATTGAAACACCTTGTCCATTTGAGAGAAGAATCAACATGAGACAAAGTCGACTTTAAATCAAACAAAATGACAAATGAAGACTTATTACATTTCTTGTTTTTCTCAAGTTCAAACTGCACGTGGCCAACGATCATTTAAGGCCCTAACATTTTGGTAAAATAAAGACTTTAATTAGTTGAATATTTACATTTGTAACATAAAATAAAATAAATAATTTTTTTAGTAAAATACATGGAAATGGAGATCTGAACTCATGACTTTTTGGTTGAAAATAGCTGTCTTAATAAGTTGAAAGTTGATTTAATTAGCAATTTTTATTTTCTTCTCTAATTTTTTAAAATTCAACAAATATTTTAAAATTTTACCTTGAATAACGTTTGTTTTAAATAAAATATTAAATAACATTTTATTTTTTATTTTTTCCTTTTATATTTATCATACATTGTGCAAGTAAAAAAAAAAAAAAGATTTAAACAGTGCTTTTGTTTGTATATTTCAAGAGAAGAAACTGTAGAAACAAAAAAATAAATTATATTTTGTATCAAATGGTAGCTTTTCTAGAGTAAAAAACATGTTCTATCAAAATTTTTAGGTCTAGATCCCATTTTATTTTCAACTTTTAGATTTGTCCCGTTTTAATTTAATCTTTCAAAATAATGATTTTATTTTATTATTATTTACTGTTAGACACAGGACTCTGGATCTTTAAGCSTTTTGCCACTGCACCAACACCCACACCCGAGAGTAAGTACCAATATAATGATTTTATTCTCTTTAACTTTCAAATTGATTCAATTTTGATTACCAAAATTTCAAAATATCTATTAAAATATATTATTAGGTGGAAAGTTATGGTAAGTACCAATTAGTTTTTAAAAATTAAGTAATTAAAATAGACATTTGAAAATTTTAGACACTAAAATAAAATAAATTTGAAATTTCATGGGCAAAATAGAACAAATTTAAAAGTTTTGTGGAAATGAAACAAACTTAAAATTCAAGAACCAAGATGAAATTTAAACTCTTTAAAAACTAACATTGGTGTCTAAAGGCCGATTTGGTAACATTTCCTTTATAAATAGAACTACATTCGGTAACTATTTATTGTTATTTTTATTTTTTTTAGGGTAATAGTTTATAGTTTATTGTTATCCAAAATTTTAGATTTTTTTTTCTAATTTTTATATGAAATTTAATTTTTTGAATTAAATATTTAAATCTTTATGTTACATTTATTTGTTAATATGTATAATGCATTTTGTAAATTCATAATGCTTTTGTTCATGTATTGAGAAAAAAAATTGGAAACTAAAAAACAAGAGAAAAAATACGAAACTTGATTTCGTTGTGTCTAAAATTTTTACACAATCTTAGAAAAGGGAAAACGAGAAACAAAAATAGGTAGGACCCATTTGGTAACCTTCTCATTTCTTGTTTCTCGTTTTCACTTTTATTAATAAATCTAAGAATTTTGCAACTAATTATGTTTCTTGTTTCTCATCTTTTGGAAACATTCTCAAAATTGTATAGAATTTTTTTTGAAACAATAAAAACAAATTTCTTATTTTTTGTTCCTTGTTTTTAATTTGTTCCAAAACATTAATAAAAAAATATTATTTTATCATCTTTAAATCTTTGGGTATTCTAGGCCATACAAAATTGGGAACATTATCAAACAGGTCTTTAGTGTTTCTAAAAAACTAGAAACGAGAAAAAAAAAAACAAAAAACAAAAAACAGAAGCATTACTAAATTGGCTATAGAAATTTCGAAATCTTTATACTCACCCCGATGAAAGGAATCATAAACTAAGAGTATTGTCTGGTTCTAAAATATCCATGGTCTACAAAATTCATATAGGCAACCCCAAGAATACAGTAAGCACCAAAGATCAGAGATAAGTGCAGCAAAATTCAAGGTAATGGCAGCAGCCCCATAACAAGAAGCTTATGCTTACCCCAGCCATGGTTTCCTTTCCAAAGACTTCCAGCAAAAGCTTTTCCTTTCCTTGTTGGCTTCAAGATGAATCAATGGAAGCTCCAAATACCTTCTCTCTTTTCTGGAAGGACCTCCAAAACTTTGCTTAAATGAGTCAGATAAAAATTGTTAGGAGCAAAACATAAGCCAAATAACAGAAGAGCAACTTGAGTTATTATGGACTATGTTAGAAGATGGACGGCCAAGAAACAGCAGATTCATCATGATAGGAATATCAAACAATAACATCAAGTAATAAAGACAAGGTAACATTTTACAAGGCTTGTTGTCAAAAGGGGTATCCCGAGCCATTTCATTAATCAGGTTCATTGATATTCCATAGTTTAAATTTTACAAGGTAAACAAGTATCATAATTCATGAATTCATGGAAGCATAGATCAAGAAAGGTCCATAAACAATACTGGACTCTCCAAAATTCATGACTTTGGCTATAACACAAAGTATAGTACCTTGATTGGTCAACATTTTCCATTTTATAGGGAAAGAATCCAACAACAGAAAACAGTCATTTTACTGAGTTCTGACTTCTTCTTGCCACTCCCCCGGTGTGGCAAAAATCGAAGTTCTGTTGTTACCCATATGAGTCTCTCCACGGGGAGCTCATTCAAATAACAGCCAAATTCCTTTCCCTTCAAGATAAAATCAATGTCCCTTGATGACAATTTGTAGTACATTATGCTGAAAATAACAGCACAACAGAGAGCAAAGGCTACAAAGAGGAGTTGACACTGAGGAGCAAACCATATTAAATACAACATACAAACATTAAACGAGGAGAAGGAAAAAATGAAATTCAAAGCTGCCTCCAATCTGAAGTTAGAAAGGAGAAGATTAAAAAGAATATCCATTACTGACCCATGAGGTCCAACGACTCGCTGCCAATACATCGAAACAGAAAAAAGGAAGGGAAAAAATGAAACAGAATCTAGAAGGCATGAACAAATCATAATCTATAATTGAGACAATAATACAAATCTTAATAAAGTACTCCCTTGCATCAATGCAAATGATAAGATAACGAGAGTAGGAAATCCTTTTAAATATATAAATTAGCCTCAAATCCTCCAATTGTTACAAGAAACACTCTCTCTATGTATATAAATAAAATAGAAAGTGGAAACTAAGAGGACGAAAAAAAGGACGTGGTTACCTCAAGCCTAAGACGACGTAAACTTTGGAAACAAGTTGACTCATTTCCCTCATAATTTTCGTAACTAAAAATCCATACAGGAATTCAGGAACACAAATATCATGAAGAGGAAATCTGGTTACCCTCAAAATCTCTCCTTATAAGTTCAAGAACAAGCTCATTCCAGGTATCTACAGGACCTGGCATGCACCAGTGTAAACAGTCCTGTGGTGGTGGCCTTCCATCTGGGCCACGTTTGGTGAGTTTATTAGGGTCAGTACTTCTGTAAGGCCCTGGATGCCCATCATGACGATACTGAAAGATTTCTGTAATGTCCATTAGCCTTAGCCTTGATTTATTTGTCAACTTCTTAACTGCAGCATTGAAACCAGATACCTGATTATCGTGCATAATGTTTGTGAATTTATTTTCCACTAGTTCTCCAACACCAATAGGCCTTTCCTTTCCAGTACAGGATCCACCTGTATTCCAGGCCCCACCTTCATAGTGATCAGGAGAATAAGAACGCACAATCGTGAGTCCCCTGTATTTTGGATCTGTGGCAAGAGCAGTAAGAATTGTTTCGACAGATATTCGAAAAGCTTCGATGTTGTTAACCTTCATAGGACGAGACTTATCAGGCCACCACAGCTGTCCTCCAACAATCTCATTATTTAAAACGTAAACCGACTGCTTGGCAAACCAGTGACCAGACGAAATAACAATGACATCAAAATTTGGAATAAATTCCATGAGATTATCATCAGGAGCATCAAGGTGAAGTTTCACAACACCCTCTGGAGCAAAATCTACAGGTTCAGATCTTTGCTTCACAAGCCATGATGACCATATTCGAACAATCATCACAGAGTTTGACCTGAAAAAATATCTTTGCATTTTCCTATTGCCCCTGTTTTTAGGAACTTCAACCTGAAAATATTCGAGAATTTGTCAGATTAGCAAAGCATTTGGAAACTATATGAATGATCAAGTGAAATACATAATATCAAATAATATGCAATGTACATAACTAAATAATAAAGTTGAAAAGCATCCAACAATACAATCTCAGACATGTTACCTCATACGGCATACAACTTACAACAATTGGCTCAACACCACGTATTTTAGGGGGGGGAAAACCAACATTTAAGTTAGAGAGGAAAGCTCAAAACAGAGTTTTCTGCTATATGAGCTAAACATGCAAACCTACGCAAGCACAGCTCTTCCTTCCAGGAAAAGTTATGCAAAACCCCATGGAGCTTGATATCAAGTCTAGTGAATTACACGAAATAAATATCTACAAATTTAAACCATCTACAAACAAAACACCCAAATACAGAAGCAAAAGTTCATCAGCATCCTGCACCAGCACAATTGGTTCAAGGTGAGTAATTATTCAATTTAATTCAAATTATTGTTTGCTCAGCGTAACATATTGATAAGGAGCTAGACTAGATCATAACAGACCTTCATACAAAGCTTAAAAACAGACAAAAAGGACAACAGATTCAACATTCACTGCACTCATATCATAATGGAATCAGACCCCTGGTTAATTTGCAAATGCAGTCAAAAGAGGGGAAAAATTGAGTTCAATCAGCGCACAATTTTAAATTAATAATAACCTGCCACAAGGCGCACAATAATGACTCCATTTGGTTTCGAGCAACTGAGTCGCCAATAAAAGCAAGTGTCTTCCCACTCATCAAGTTCAAGAATTTCTTAGCATCAAATCTTGGGAGGCTACATTGAGAAGGCTTCCATCGCCAATTCTCGTATTCACTGTCTGGTCTCCCATTCCCCTGGCAGTTCTGCATCTGTGACAGGACAGGGCATGAATCATTTTTATACAATGGTCCTGTGGAATCATAAACCCAACTTCCATGGTACAAATCACAGCCTGCATGATAGGACAGTAAATAAAAACAATTAGAATCTTAAAGGAGGGAAAAAAGATAAAGAAGAGGAAAAGAGAACATGTTATCACATGGCAACATTTTCTTATTGATTCAATGGAAGACATCATGAGGATGAAGGATTTTAAAGGCAACCCACAGCAGGTAAAAACAGGAGGACAAAATGAACCGCCTGAGGAGATGAAATTAAGTACAACTGACCAATATGATATGCATTATACGAAAGATCCCATAAAACTAAAATTGTGTTTAAACATGGAGCGTAACTATAAGGTTTACCTAAATCTGATGTCTTGCTCCCATTAGTTGGCAGGGGATTTGGATCTGGTAAACCTCCTGATTTGACATCAATATCATTTTTAGAACCCATATCTGTATCATTTGAATTGCTGATAGAATTATTGGAAACAGATCCACCATTTACAGAATTTTCAACGTTAGATGTAATGGTGGCAGCCTCTGGCTCTGACCCATCTTGAGAAGATAATACTGAAGGAATCGCCCTTTCATCTTCCTTCTTCTTGGTTTCTGAAGCAGTTGACTGACTACTTGAATTTGTGGCATCTGGTGACTTGGACTGAGGCATCAAATTCTTGTCAATTGCAGCTGAATTTTTGTCAACCGGAGGTCTATCTGAACTACTTTGAGGAGGTGGATTTAACCCAGATTCAAATTTCCTGTCAACTATATCCTTATCTGAAGGGAGTTTTTTTGGAACTAGATCTAAATTGCTGTCATAGGCAGGAACAGTAGCACTTGAATTTCCTAGAGAAATTACAAAATCCAACTCTTTTGAACTATTAACACCGTAAAAGTACCCTCGCATTATGGACCCAATAGGGTAGGAGACTAAGAACCATGAGCCAAAGATTAGGAACATTGCCAATCCTCCAACTGAAACGGCAATCCAAGAAATTGTTCGCGGATATACAGCCATTTGTGAACCCTTTCGTATGGCCCAAGTCATAACTTCTCAAAATATCTACCACTACCATGAACAGGTAAAATCGGCTGTTTCAAAGAAATTGGAACCACTACAACCCTCCAAAAAAACCCGTCTGGTTAATATATATAGATGCACGCAGGTAATCAATGACCAACGTATTCCGTAATCAACATCTTTCTCACTAAGACCAACAATTCAATCCCAGTTTCGACTTTCTCTTTCTGCTCGAGATTTGATCGTTATCGTGTCATTGAATGTGGAAAGCGATCTTAGCGATTAACGCCCGAGTTGAATATCCTTTAATGAACCTGAACACCAATCAACCACAACCTTTCAAAAATTGATCAATCACGAACTAAATTCAAAACCAGTTAACAGAACGGAAAACAAATTCAAAGCAACAAAGTCCACACAAACGAAACAAGACACGCAAAGGCACATCGCCAAGCATTTATACCCAAATTCAACAGACGAAAAACGAAAGGCAGCATAAACTAACTCGTCGTCGAAATCTCAAATCTAAAAGGAACAAGTACCACCGGAAAACCAACATTAAAATTCAATTTGACCATCAATGGAGCGAGATGTACAATGAAAGAGCATAAAAAACAAGTTCCAGGGTTGATAAGAAAAAATCAAAAGAATTACAGAAACAATCGAGAGAGAAAACTTCGAAAAATTTGCTGGAATCTCGAAATCTTTCCGATCAATTACCAGGTGATTTGTTCGGGAGCCCAGTGGAAGGATTTTTTTTTTTCCCCTTTTCTTTTGATGAAACCAGTGGAAATTGAGGCTCCGATAAAGGAAATTCTTGTTGAAAGTTGAAATACGATTAATGTGTCGCTTCTACTTCGATGGAAATATGGCATATCTAGATTTGACCTCTTTAGGAAATTTTTAATTCATTAAATTAGGAATTTAATCAATTTTAATATTTTAATATTACTTAGTTCATCATTAGGATAAAGTTAAATTACAAATTTGACTCCTAAGATGCGCAAAGTATTAATTTAGTCTTTGTTGTGGTTTTAAACATTTTAATTTAGTGTTTAAGATTTGGGTTTAGTTTTAATTTGATGCACATGATTTGAATATGATTTAAATTTATTCCTTACGGTTTCAAATTTTTCAATTTGGTCAATATGGTTTAGTCAAATTTCACAAATCATCTATGCCATTGTGATATTGATATATTTTTTTTTTCACGTTAACAGTTTTTCTATTTGGATAACTATGTTGGTTGAATAGATAAATTAACCTAGTTCAACTAGTTATATAAGGTCGTGAGTTTGAATATCCACCCACACGTATTGTTATATTAAAAAAAAAACTATGTTGGTTGAATATATTTATGATTTAAGACATATAACAAAATAAAATAAAATACAATATGTGGATACTCACGTGGGTAAAGCATAAATTAAGGAGGAATTATTAGATTTAACATAACACAATATGGATTGAATTGAAACTAATCATCGATCACAATAATCAATTTTGAAAGTTTTAAAATCATAGACACCAAATTAAAGCTAGACTTGAATCACGATGACTAAAATGAAACTTTTAAAATTATAAGAATAGGGTTGAAACTTTTTAGGGAAAAAAAATGGCCTTAGAGACCAATTTTATAAATGAACATAAAAAAATATACTAATCTAAAATTTAGACATGATTTCTGAATCTCATTTTGAAAATTTTCAATCTTTAAACATCAAATGATGGGATGTCAAATTAATTAATTAATTATATATATATATATATATATATATATATATATATAAAACTAACTCAAGCTACCCAATAAATTGAAACCTAATAATGTGTCTTTATTAACTGATTATACTTTTAATTATTTTTAAATTTCATATATGTAATACTTTTTTTCCCTTTTACAAAACTCCCAAATGTATTAGAATACAAGACCATTGACCTATTTGGCACAACAAACAATAAAAATTTTATGATGTCATTGGAAGTTTCTTTTCTTATATAATAATTATATTCAACTATTCCTTTTAGAAAAATCTAATTAAAAGAGGGGAGGAGGAAAGATATGAAACCACTATGGCTGCAAAAACTATGGATTATATCCTCGAGGATATGCATTAGATACAAATCTTCAATAAGTTGATTCTCTTTATAAAAAGAATAAATAAATTAGATTTATAATAATATGAATTATTATCCTTTTATTTATTTAGTTCACCACCATATAACGTTGAAGAATCGAATTATATATCTACTAATATTATTTTCTTAAATAAAAGCAACTTCATTAACTAATTTTGATACTTTGCTACAACACTGAGTCACAAGGGGATTCTGAAAAAAACCAAAACCCCAACGAGTGTCACTTTATTGATAATTATATTAAATCTTAATGATATTTTTCACCGGAAAGACTAAATTGTTAGCTAACTTGTACATAGGGTTAAATCATATATATCGAATCGAAAGATTTTCGAATCCCTATCTCCAAATGTTGTATTAACAAAAGACTAAATCGTTATAAACTTTGTACTACATTAACTAAATTACTACATATAAAAATTAAGAGACTAAATGATTACTAATTAAAAAATATAAAAACTAAATTGTGGTGTTAAAAAAACCGATCAATCCAATTCAATCCATACTGTTTAGATTGAGTTATAAACTTGTTTAAGTTGGAGTTGATATAAATAAAAATTTTATGAATTTGGTGGATTTAAATATTAACCTAAACTAACTCCAGATTAATAATTTTATTTTTATTTCATTCCATAATACTTTATGGATTATTTATTCTTTTAAAAATAATTAAAAACATATATTTATAGAGTGTACTATTCCACCATATAAATAAACATTAATTTACCGGTCTTGATTTAGATGGTGTATAAATAAATCTCTAAAATATTATCATATTATACAAATAATATAAAAAATATCTCAAAAACACTACCCAACGCCAAGAAGAAAAAGAAAACAACCATCACTTCAATTCTCCCACAATTTCCATAACGCAAAAATCAAAACACAGATCTCTATATTCACGAATCTGAAGTTCAGAGATCCAACAAATCCAAATCAACAAGACGATCAAATCCGCTATGCTTTAACTTTTCCGGCGACCATAAAACATTTATACACGACGGTTCTAACCAGATCTCCTCCTCCCCAAGCTTCCCTCAAATCCCTAACCATTTCTTCACACATTACATCCAC